TAACTATTATTACTATTATTATTTTGATAACTGTGAATTGATTAACACCCCTAAATGCTAGAGAGCATTTCACATGACAATTTGCATCCTACGTGATGTCCTACATGTATTATGCCACATAGGACTCATGTTTCTACTTGTTCAACTTTATACAAGTGTAAGTGTCTACTTGTGCACACTCAAAGTTGGAGGACATAAATGTGAAATGAGGCCAAGTTAAATGGTACATTTATGTATTATGCCTAACTAAAACTAAAATTCCAGTAAATGGATATTGGATAAGCTACTCTAGTTAAAATCTTCGGAAGGCACATACAGTAATTTAAGAACCATAATATGCAACTAACCTTTCCCAAATGTAAGCTACATGAGACATCCTTGTGTGCAAAGAAATATGGAAGTGAACATTCAAAGCCATAAGAATATACTTGCTGAGATATTGCAACTAATTAATTAAGAAACTATCCCATGACTTGCAGTTTAGATTGAGAAAAATTGTACCAGTGCTAAAGTTTGTCCAAACCAAAAAAAAAAGATATATAATCCCAGTAAAGGCCACATAATGGAAGAGAGAGAACAAAAATCTCCAGCATAGAGGAATTCTTACTTGATCTGCAGAGAAAACAGTTTTTATATCTTGTTCATGCCATATTCTACTGTGCTTCCATGGCTTGTCCTGGTCCACATTACGTGCCACTTGCTGACCCATTTGTTCTATCAAATCATGCATCTCAACCATTCCTTCTGAAATATATAAAAGTGATTTTTGGATGAGGACATCAATTCCAATCTCTGATCGGAAGCCAAAACTGTTCAGTATTGTTATCACATCATCTTTCTTTCTTCCTCTAAAGAAGCATGCAATATCAAGAAATACATTCTTCTCTTCATGGTTCAATCCATCTAGACTTAAACTGAGCTGCTTAACAATTTTTTCATGTCCAGTATCTTTCAGTTTATCTATTGCACTTCTCCACTCAGTTACGCCTCGTTTGTAGAGAAAAGAACCAAAGACCTTAAGAGCTAAGGGTAAGCCTTTAGCATAATCTACCAGAGACTTGGAGAGTTCCAAAAACTCTTTATCAGGAGTCCCTTTCTGAAAAGCATGCCAACTAAAAACTTCGACAGCCTCATCTTTAGCCAATTCAGGAACAGAATATAACTGGTCATGACTACGTAGTAAATCTTGGTTTCTAGTAGTTGTAATGATTCTACTGCCATCACCAAACCAGTCATGATTTCCAACTAAATATTCCAATTGGTGTTCATCGTCAACATCATCAAAAACAATTAAAACTTTCCAGTGGCAAAGCCTTCTTTTTATCATGTCGGCTCCTTCATAAAAACTTGCTATATTCATTCTTTTTTTGTTCAAGAGTCTTGAAAGAAGTGTATCTTGCAAGTACGTCAGCCCATGCTTCTTTGATTCTTCTCTGACATTTGCAAGAAAACAAGACCCTTGAAATTGATACGAAATCTTGTCAAAAAAAGCTCTTGCAACAGTTGTCTTGCCAATGCCACCGATCCCCCAAATTCCAACAAAACAGACATCACCTGATCTAACCTTAAATAACGATTCTACTTCACCCATACGAGATTCGATTCCCACTAAATATTTTTCAGTAGCTGAAACACTATGGTGCATAATTTGGAAGTTATCATTTACAATCTTCTCTATAGATTCTGCTTCATTCCTACAATAAGTAAAACTATAATAATAAGAATGGAAAGTTTTGAAAGAAAAAAAAAAAACAAACTGAAGAAGCCAAAAAAGCCCATACTCCATCTAGAGCTTCTCTAGAACTAGTCTAATATGAGCAAGGAAATAGGATCTTTTAATCCACAAAAAATCTTGTTAAACAGTTCTCTTGCAACAGTTGTCTTCTCTATGCAATCCATTTCATTATCACTCAAAATGCACACTTCCATTCCCTTTTTCAGCAAAGAGCACTTTTCACTCTAACAAGATTCAATTCCAACTAGATTTTCGTCAATGACAGATCTTATCGTACCCAGACATTATAATATGTACTCCTTGTTTATGAATATAAAGAATTGAATTCAGATAGATGCTCATGAACTGAAAAGAAATCATTTTATTATGAAAATCAAGATGTTTTGTGGCGTGCTTTAAATCTTCAAAAGAAAAGAAAATGCACACAACGAGATAATTCCAAAATATAAGTAATTTGTGTCTGTTACAGAACCAGTGAGAAAGAATGGGGCTGGTTTATAATTGGGCATACATCATTTGATGCAGACAGTTTTTTTTCCTTCTTAACTTTGACAAAGAAGCTTGAGGTGAAGTTTAACAAACCTACCTTACTAATAGTTTATGTTTTAACTTATTTCAGATTGAATGATTATTAACCATAGGGGTTCAAATGAGTTGAATCAAGCAAAGTTCTGGGCACTTAAGCGCGGCTAATACGATAGCTGAATGAAGCGTGTACGACCTCTAGGTGCACCCAGAGCTTGAAATGGGGAATTTTTCAAGGCTCTAGCTAAAGCTCGAGTATCAATTCGTTCATGGATGGACTATTTTATTTTCTGTTTTACAGTTTTCCACCACTTTCTATATATGAATAAACACCACAATCCTAAACAACTATGAGAGTAAAACAATGGCTTGGTACGGCTAGAGGCAAGTTCAACAATTTGACTTATCCGAGGAAGACAAACACAATCTCAAGGTATTTAGATGTGGAATCATGACAATTTGGGATAATATAATTCTTTTAGGTCATAATTATAGTTTCCTATGCTTAAGTTCATGGTCTTGAAGAATGTCATCGTGCAAATATTTACTTATTACGAATGTGAGGTTCAAGGAAGGAAAGGAGCTTAGAAAGAAAGATTACCCACAAAGAGAAGACCAGTTTAGTGGCCCATGTGAAATCAAAGAGCGGCAGACATTCCAAAGCATTTGATATGGCGAAGTGGAAATTAGTAAAAGTAGTCAGAACTCTACAAAGTACGCAGTATCCGTGAAGCAACGGATTAGAGGAATGATGAGGCGCTATGTGAAATGAAGACACAGAAACTTTAATCACTTCCATATGAGGTGTGGCAACAAATTATGTTGAGCTGCCATGCCAGAACATAAGAAGATCAGAAATGAGTCTGGATACATATGATTGTGTTGTGGCGCATAAGGAGCCAGAACAATTGAAGATGAGTCTGGATATATCTGATGATACACCAGAAAAGAAATTGATACATTGCATGAGGACTGAGGAGAAAAAATGTCCCATTTAGCAAAGGAAGCGACGTGATCATGTGCAAAATAATGCTTACTATAAATAAAAAGTGGTAACTTGAACGAGGGTATCATATTTCAGAAGGTAATTGTACTTGAGAGCTGAGAGTGAACATTGAAGAAGTTTCAAAGCTTGGGACATTTAATTTGCAATTCTTCTCTCTTAATTCATTGTTATCTATGGAATTTGTCTTTTTAATGGTGTGTTAGTTAATTCCTTAGTATCTAAGTTACTACACTGATTCTTATTAGGTATTTAATTACTTGTCCTGTTTTACATTAGTGTTTGTCAGTTTCGTAAGGGCTCTAGCCTCCACTCAGATGGAGTTTTTACTTTTTAGACCCTAATTTGATTCAAGAAATGGAAACTGGAGTTGGAATTGGGATATGACAACCTAGAGCCCAATTCATTATGAAACTAATAAGGGACTCGGTGAATTTAGTGGACATAGTACACAACACTCTAGCTAATCAAAGTTGGGTAGGTCCTAATGACTTTAATTTGACGAACCCATATAGACAATGGTTAGGATCGTGTAATGATGGTAGGCCTGTATATAATCAAGAGATTGGATCAGACAGTGTTATCTCAAGATCAGATATCACCTAATGAGACTCTAATTGTGTTAATACATTTAGTTGTAGTAAACCCAAGGAATTCATAGTCTGAAGGAATTTCATTTTTACTGTTTTAAATAATAATAGGTCTCCCAACAATTCAAACCAATTTATAAAAGTTGAATTTACAAATTCAAAGTAGATTTAACCACCACAATCTCTTGAAGATATCCAGAGTCTCTTCTCCTTTTACTCTGAGTTGCATTACTTGCTCTAGATTTAACCACCAAACAAATCGATCTCATTGTTGCTGGAAATACCAGTAAAGTCACTCCACTACAATCTACTTCAACCACAAAGAATGAACAACCTATGTCACACGAAATTCATCCAGATCAGATAACATACAAGATCACTATTGAGTAATTAACTCAAAAGAGGAGAAGGGAAAAAGACATCGCGATGGAAATGTTCAGTGGGACAAAAAGACATCCAGGGATGAAGATATCAACTTTCTAAGGTTGTCAAATAGGAGGAGAAGAAGAGTCCAGAGAGAAAGAGGGGGGGATGCAAAAGAGGGAGGTCAAGTTTTTAGGAGTTCAGCTCTTTCAATATTTTGTTAGAATCAACTTGTCTAGTAAATTATATGGATCTCAATACCGTAGTTTACACTTTAGTAATGACTTGATCCTTATCACAGGTTTTGTATGTTAAATCCGGTCAAATTTCTTACTACTCAAAAGAGTATGTCTTTAATGCTAATTACTACCCTGTTAAAATGGAACCACATTCCCTTTGTTGCTTTTTTATTTTTACAAATGTGCAATCAAGCATAATGAAAGGACAAGCATAATGTAAAGTCTATTATTCATACTACTGCGGTAGCCACTCTTCTTCCTATTAAGCACAGGTCAAACAAAGTCATTTACACCACCCTTCCACTGAAACTTAAAGACCTCTTAGCATATCAACCTATTTACAAGAAATTAAACTGATTTCTGCTCTAGACTGACAAAATATATAAAATTCATTATATTTAATTTAATGAAAGAGTATACATTATTGACCATGCTATATTAATTACTCCTGTTAACGAGTCTCAGCATTACAATCTTAGTAAAATTATTCTGTTAGCACCTTAGCAATTATGGAACCCAAAGAAGAGAGCATTTAAGTATTTTACTTTAATTACTCTCACAGTCATGTGTATGGCCAGCTGTTGCTTGAATTTAAACAGAATGTAGACACATTTCATGAGCCTGAATGACATGCAAATCTGACATATAAAGTGTTAAAGAATGACAAAAGTCCTACATCGGTGATTAATGAGATGGGTGGACTCCTTATAAGGCTTGGGCAATCCTCCTCCCTTTGAGCTAGCTTTTGGGGTGTGAGTTAGGCCTAAGACCTAATTTAACATGGTATCCATAGCACATGGTTCAATGATCTAATGGTTCAACAAGATTGAAGAAAGGTTCAAGTGGTTTCAAATCAATTTGCAACAAATTTGATGATAATGAAGACTTTTTGTCAGGCTACATGTGGATAAGAAGTTTCAACCATATTTTCAACATTCCTATTGCTTCAATTTTTAAGAATAAAAACAAAATATTTTTAACCCAGTATATTTTTAACCTTTATTTTTAACCATGACAAGCAACAGTGATGAAGATTTTTGTGAAGAACAAGATTATCATGCAATGAAGAAGACAGATCAAGCTTTGTCAAGAAAATCCAGCCAAAAGGGGAGATTTGTTAAGGTTTTACCCTGATTTTCTTACCATAATTTAAGATTTATTTTTTCTTTAAAGAAAAGACAAAACATTACCATAAATGTTTTTACTTTTCCTAAAGGAAAAATATAATCTTCTTTCATATTTGGTTCATTTTTTCCTTTTAGGAAAAGGTTTTTGGAGTAGCTAGTTCTTTTCTAGTAGGAAAGGTTTAGAACTCTATAAATATAGGTTTGTTTTTTCTAACACAATAATAACAAAAAATTCACAATGTAGTCGTTTAAGAGTCTTGTTTATGGGGAGATTTATTCTCTCTAAAGTTTCAATGTTTTTCTTTATATTAGTTTTGATATAATAATATTTTGATTTTTAGTATAAATTTTTGTTATCTGATTTATCAACTATATGATTTGCAAATTGTAAGCTTCCGCATGACGCCCTAATCACCCTTCATAACCCAACAATTCATGTACCTAGCTTGTTACAAATGTAATTAACACGAGGACCGATGAGGGGCTTGGTGAAATATCTGCAAGTTGATCACTCGACTTTACAAAATTGACAGTCAATCTCAATGTGTTTGTCTTCTCATTAAACACTGGATTTGATGCATAATGTCAATCAATCTCAATGTGCTTAATCTTCTCATGAAATACTGAATTTAATGCATAATGCCGATAAAACACACATTGATAAAATTACAGCGTTGAACTTCCCAAACCTAACTTGCAAAGACTGTTTCAGACCATAAAGTGACTCACATAATCGACATACAAGGCTACTAAACTCCCCCTGAGCAACAAAGTGCTCAAAATCTAGTATAAAGTATATGGATCATGTTGGAATCAATAGATGAGTCGATATTAAACAAGTCACCGAAAAATTGGCCGAAACATGCTCATATGCCAGAGTATTAGATTTGATGGCTAAAAGTGGTCACAATCTATGAAATAAAATTATATGGGTAGGGTCGGAATGATGTCACGACCCAACTAGAAAATAGAAATTATATAGGATAGTTCGAATTGATGGAACGACCCCACTGAAAAAGAGAAATAATATGGGTAGGGTTGGAATGATGGCACAACCCTATGCAAATCAGATTTGAGGAGTCACCGGAAAGACGAATGGAACTATGCAGATCAAATCTGAGTCACTGAAAAGACACATGATGCTATGCAACTCAGATATGAGAAAATAATTCGAAAAAAATCCACAATACTACACAAATTAAATATGAAAAGTAGTCCGGAGAAATGCACGGTGCTACGCAAATCAGATATGTAAAAAGAAAAGGTAGTCACCGGAAGGATGACACGGTACTACACAAATTATATATGAAAAA